AAAAAAAAAAAAAAAAACTGGGCAAAAAATATAAAGACCCTTAGCCAAGACTGAGTTCAAGTGTTGTAGGTTGACTGGCTCGAAAGAACAGGCAGAGAAGAGTCCAAGACATGGCCAAAACAGTGAGCAGGGCCAGATTCAGAGAAGGAAGTTTGGATTTTATTCTGAGAGCAATGGAAAGTCACTAAAGGGTTTTAGGTAGGGCAGTGTTGCAGCCTGATTTTAATTTTTAAGAGTCACACTTGCTGCTGCATGGAGCATGAATTGGATGGGGCCAAAAACAGCAGTAGGGAGCCTAGGAAGGAACATTTTACATGAATCTGAGCCAGATGGTGGCCTACGCCAGAGAAAATGGAGAATAGATGAACTCAAGTGAAATTCATGGGTGAAGTGGGTGTGGAGTGTGCAGTTTCACTAGAATGGCTCTTAGCTTTCACCTTTGGTTGAACAGTGGTGCCATTCACCAAGATCAGGAAGACTAGGATTTTAGCAGGAAAATAAAGAGCTCCACTTTAAATATATTAAATCTGAGATGTGTGACACCTAAGTGGAATGCCAAGTGAGCAGCAGGATACACGAAGTAGATTCAGAGAAAAGATCTGGGATGGAGATATAAACCTGGGAGTTGTCCTTTAAAATCACGGAAATAAATGGGATTAGTATAGGGGAAATGTGTAACAAGGTGGCCCAGGCCTCACCTTGAGGAGCTCAACATCTGGATAGGAGAGAAAGGGCAGGCAATGAAATTGGAAGAAAATCAACACAAAAACCTGTTTCAAGAAGGAGGGAGTGGCCAACCCAACAAATGCTGCTGAGTTGAATAAGATGAAACTTCCAGTGCTCCTTGGTTTTGGTAGGATGGAGATTATTATTGATCAAGATAAGGGCAGTCCAAGTGGGCTGAGGAGTAAAAGTGAAGTGCAGAAATGGAGCGGACAGCTCCTTAGCGCGGTCTAGACACAGCTGTCAAATGTGGAAGATTAAATGCTGACGGGACGGAACACGGCAGTAGCTTGAAACTGGTTTGAAAATCCAAGATAAGAAATCCCTCTTAATCGTGATCCAGATCTCTCAAACACCCAAACATGCACACAAATTCTAGTATATTCTATTACATCAAAGAAAAATGCTGGTCTCTACTCACTAAATCAACTTCATGGCTCACTTACAGGTAGCAAGCTGTAATGACAGCCCCAGGCTAATTCAGTAAGGGGTGATTTCGGAAGGCAGAGATGGAGAAGGGAAAAAAGAAACGAGCCTGAGGACGAGTGAGGCCAGAGCGCCGGGTGGACCCAGATGAGGCGGCGGGGCCGCCCAGAAGACCCCGGTCCGGCGCCCCCGCCCCGCGCCACTCCCCCGGGCCGCTCTCACCTCCTCCAGATATTCGCCCAGCTGGGCCGCCACGTCCACCTCCCAGTTCTTGGTGAGGTCGCGGATGGGCTGCAGGAGGTGGGCGAAGCGCGCCTCCACGTCCTCCATGTCCGGGAGGGGCCGGGGCGGCCCGGGGACCGCAGGGCCGGCTTCAAGGGGGGCCAGTGTCTTCAGCCCGCCACTAGTTCTGGCGCCATTTTGCTGTTCCCGCCCAGGAAAGGACGCAGCGCGGCGCCCCGCGCACATCTATGACGTAGTGCGGCAAGAGCCGGCGCCAGAAGGGCCGCGGGGCGCGCTGGAGGCGGGGCAGGGGCAGGGGCAGGGGCGGGGCGGGGGCGGGGCGTGTGCTGGCGCGGGGGCGGGGCCAGGCTGGGGCGGGGCTTGCGGTTGCCACAGGCTGGCAGGCTCTCGTCCAGCCGGCCGCGTAGCAGACATGGCGGGTTCCCGGGTTCCGCGGCAGCTCTTCCTCCAGGGCGTGGCCGCCGTCTTCATGTTCGCCTTCGCTTCCCTCTACATGCAGATCCCGGGTGAGGGCGCCGAGGGCGGGACACCCCCCAACACGAGCCCTGTGCTCTCTCATCTCCCCACCAACACTCCGCTGTCTGGGCGCGGGAGTGAGGTCCGGGCCTGGATGCGTGGGGTAGGGGCTGCGGTTCGTGTCCTGCGTGCCGGGGCTGTGGAGGGTAGGAAGATGTGCAATGGTCCGTTTCCCGCAAGGTTCCGGGTTCTGACCTGGGCCCAGAGCTCGTGGGACGGGGAGGAGCTAAAGCTCTGACCTGGAGGAGAGGGGAACTGGGCTCTGCTGAGGGGGAAAGCCTGACCTGGGGAGTCGGATAGGCCGGCTGGGGCCTGACCTGGGGTCAGTAGGTTCTGACCTGGGTGGAAGGATCTGGAGAGTCTGCAGGCCCTGACCTAAGGGCGGTAGAGTGTGCAGGTCCTAACCTAGGTTGGTGGGGGACGTCTGCGGGTCTTGACCTGAGGGGGTGGATCTGCAGGTCCTAACCTAAGTTGGGGGGCGCGGGAGGGGCGTCTGCAGGCCCTAACTGTTGGGGGAGTCTAGTCTTGGAGGGCAGTGTCTAGGGCCTGGTCTTGACATACCCTCCCACAGGCCTATATGGTGCCGAGGGCATCCTGCCTGCACGAAGGACGCTGCGGCCACAGGGCAAGGGGCGCTGGCAGCAGCTGTGGGAAACCCCGACGCTGCTGTGGGAGGCACCGAGACTGGGGCTGGACACGGCGCAGGGCCTGGAGCTGCTGAACCTGCTAGGCACTCTGCTGGCCCTGGGCGCACTGCTGCTGCGCCAGCTGCGCCACCTCCTCACCTACTTGTTGCTCTGGGCTGCCTACCTGTCGGCCTACCAGGCAAGTGGGGGTGCCAGCTGCCCCCCTGCACCAGTGGGACCCTTGTCACCAACTCACTTCAGCCCGGTCCACCCTCCACCCCACCCTTGCTCTGCCTCGTCTGCCTCCGCAGACACACACCCTGCTCCCTGACAGCCCTTCTCCCTGCAGGTGGGCCAGGTGTTTCTTTACTTCCAGTGGTGAGTGACTACTGGGTGTGGGGCACAGGACGCTGGGTGGGTGGAGTGGGGTGTGTTTGCCTCTCTGGGGAGGACTCTCTGAGGGGAGCAGCCTTGATGGAGAGGGGACCCTTTGTGCTATTCCTTCTGCCCATAGGGATTCCCTGCTGCTGGAGACTGGCTTCCTGGCCATGCTGGTGGCTCCCCTGAGGCAGTGCCCCCACCACAAGCAGGCCCCCCAGGGGGGGCTGGCAGGGGCCTTGCCCCACGAAGGCCTCCCCTTCTGGCTCGTGCGTTGGCTGCTGTTTCGCCTCATGTTCGCCTCGGGTGTGGTCAAGCTGACCAGCCGTTGCCCCGCGTGGTGGGGTCTCACTGGTGAGGGTCCCGGCCTGGACATGGGGCAGACTTGGGGGCTCTGCCCAGCCCTGACTGCCCACCCATCACCTGCAGCCCTTACCTACCACTACGAGACGCAGTGCCTGCCCACACCTGCCTCCTGGTTCGCCCACCACCTGCCCGTCTGGCTGCACAAGCTCAGCGTGGTGGCCACCTTCCTCATCGAGATCGCAGTGCCCCCTCTGTTCTTCGCCCCTGTTCGCCGCCTGCGCTTGGCTGCCTTCTACTCCCAGGTGGGTGGGGCCTCAGTCATCAGGAGGACAGGCAGGACGTGGCCTTCTTCAGTACTGCCCAGTGGATCCTGTTGGGGATGGGTGGTTGCTGCCAGCATTCAGAAAGGCCTCATGGGCAGAGGGACAAGTTAACTTGGTGTGGGAAGGTGTGCCTGTGGGGCAGGGTTGCAGCCTCGCTGGAGGATGTCAGTCTTAGGTCAGCAGGGGCTGGTGGGGAAGGGCCACAAGAGGCATGCTGAGCCTCAGTGTTCTCCAGGTGGTGGTGGGGAGCATGGAAGGCATGAGCAGGGGGTCGAGGACAGATGGAATGAGAAGACAGAGGCCAGGGGGTGATGAGGAGGGGCGGGAGCCAGCAGGAGAGACCTAGGCGTGGGGTGCAGAGGCGCCCTGAAGCAGGCTCTGAATGGCCCAGGAAGGGGGCGGCCCTTGGGACCTCTGAGTGCAGACTTTCCCCCAGGTCTTGCTGCAAGTCCTAATTATCATCACTGGCAACTATAACTTCTTCAACCTTCTCACCCTGGTGCTCACCACCTCCCTCCTGGATGATGAGCACCTGGCTGCCAAGTCGGGCAACAGCCACTGCAGGAAGACACCCACCTGTGAGTGTCAGCCTGTCCCGCACAGCTAGCCATCCTCATCCTGCTGCCCACCGGGGTGTCTCCTTCCCTCCCACACCCCCAAAGTGACCCCTGCTCTAGCTCCGCCCCAGCTCCTGGCTGCAGACCCTCCAGCCCTGTTCCCAGCTGACCTGTGACTGTCTCGTCCTACAGCCTGGCCCAAGGCTCTGCTGGCCATGCTGTCCCTGCTGCTAGAACTGACCATCTATGGGCTGCTGGCCTACGGCACCGTGCACTACTTTGGCCTGGAAGTGGACTGGGAGCAGCACACTGTCCGCTCCAGAACCAGTGAGTGCCAGCTGGGGGGCCCGAGGGCAGGGGCCAGACCACCCCTCCTCACATCCCCTTCCTTCCGCAGCCTTCACCTTCCACCAGTTCTCCCAGTGGCTGAAGATGGTGACCCTGCCCACCATGTGGCTGGGGGTGGCCTCCCTCACCTGGGAACTGCTGACCGCCCTCTGGAGGTATATGGGCCAAGGGGGTGGGGTAAAGCTGTGCAGGGCAGGCCTGACTGCACTTTGGTGCCCTGCCCCTCAGGTGGACCCAGGTGCGAGGGTGGCTGAGGAAGCTCTGTGCTGCGGTCCAGCTGTCCATCTTTGGCACTGCCACGGTGGCCCTGTTCATGATTAGCCTGGTGGGTAGCACTTCAGAGGGGCAGGGGGAGGGGCCTGGGGGGCAGTGTTGAGCCTCTGTCCACCTACTACCAGGTGCCATACTCCTATGTGGAGCCCTCAACCCATGGGCGCCTCTGGACTGGGGCCCACCGCCTGTTTGGCACTGTGGAGCACCTGCAGCTGGCCAACTCCTATGGCCTCTTCCGCCGGATGACCGGTCTGGGTGGACGGCCTGAGGTGGTGCTTGAGGGCAGCTATGACGGGCACCACTGGACGGTGAGTACCTCCACAGGCCCCTGCCTGGGGTGCCCCAGGGCTCCACGGGGCGGGGGGATCCCACTGCAGGTGGAGGCAGGGACTGGGTCCAGCTGGCGGTGCTAACCCTGCACTGCCCAGCAGGAGATCGAATTCATGTACAAACCTGGGAACGTGAGCCGGCCGCCCTCTGTTGTGGTGCCCCACCAGCCACGCCTGGATTGGCAGATGTGGTTCGCGGCCCTGGGCCCCCACACACACAGCCCCTGGTTCACGAGCCTGGTCCTCCGCCTGCTGCAGGGCAAGGAGCCCGGTGAGGCCAGGGCAGAGGGGCGGGGCCTTGCAGGGGCGGGACTGCAGGACGGGCGGGGCCAAGGGAGCAGCACCTGCTGAGCCCCCGTCCCCCGCAGTGATCCGCCTCCTCCAGAACGACGTGACCAAGTATCCCTTCCACAAGCAGCCGCCTACCTACCTGCGCGCCCAGCGCTACAAGTACTGGTTTTCGCAGCCTGGGGAGCAGGGGTAAGGCCGGGAGCTGCGGGGGGCTCTGGGACCTGGGCTGGGACGCCACCCTAACGCCCTGTCCTGTTGCAGCCAGTGGTGGCGACGCCAGTGGGTGGAGGAATTCTTCCCAGCCGTATCCCTGGGGGACCCGACGCTGGACATGCTGCTCAGGCAGTTTGGCCTTCAGGTGGGAAGGCATTAGCCGGGCTGGGGGAGGTCGCAGGGGTGACCCCCAGGGGTTGCCGCTGTGGACTTTGAAATCCTGCCCCCACAGGACAAGAGCCCACCCCGGCCCCACGGCTCCAGCAGCCCCCTGGCCCAGGCCCTCCACTGGATACGGAAACAGCTGTCTCACCTGGAGGCTCCCATTGTGCTCTGGGGGCTCCTCATCACCTTGGGGGCCATTAGGGTCATCCAAGCCCTGCTGGGCCCCCGTTCCCCCCGCTCCTCCCCTCCGGCCAGGGAGGAGAAGCACAGGCCAGCCTCCAAGAAGGACTTGGGAGCTGCCGGCAAACAGGCTGCCCCAGCCCCCGACAACAACAGCAGCGGTTCTCAGACCCTCCGGCGGAAAAAGTAGCTGCATTCTGTCCGCCCGCGTCCTGAGAGGGTCAGGGTCCCCAGCACATCTCTGGGCTTGTGCAGCAGGACATGGCCCAGCCACCGTGCCTTAGCCAGCTGCCATGGCAGATGCAGGTTGGCGTGCTGCTCTTTGGGGCAGGCTCTGGCTGCCCTGTTGCTTCAAGGGCACACTCGTCCCCCCACGCCAACCACATCCCTCCCCAGGGCACCCTCTGGCCTGGATGATGGCCCAGGAGGCGGGTATGTGACCCGGCTCAGGGTCCTCCTCAGGATGTCGTAATCAGGGCTGTGGAAGGCCCTTGCCTTGTGCCCCCAGCCCCAGCGCCTGCACAGGAGGGGATGAAGCTGACCTGCTGGGGCGGGGAGGAGGAGAGGTGGCCCTGAGGCATCACTTCCACACCAGCCCATCCCGTAATTGGATCCGCGAACCAATAAAGGCGTCTTTGTGCTTGACCATGTGTCTGTGCCTGACGTTTCCTTCCCACTGGGGAGGCCCGAGGACAGTGGGCTTTCTCTGCCCCTGGGGGTGGACCCAGCCCAGATGCTGTCCAGCTGATTACCAACCTGGCTTCCTGGGCACCTTCACTCTCCCATCCTCAAGGTTGCCCTCCATAAAATGGGCATAAGGGCCTGGCTCAGCAGTGCCCAGGGCCCTGAACCTCAGGCCGACACAGCCTGGCTGACCTGTCAGTTCCATACATCAAGGCTGTGAGGCCCGCGTGGAATGTGGCGCCTGGAACCATCTGAGGGCCAGCTGGAGAACTCACCAGAACCTGACCCCTTCTCTCCTGCTCCCACTTCCTCATCTCAGGAAAGAACTGCAGAGTCAGAGTGCTGGACCTCACGTGGGCGGGTGGAAGAGAGATGGGAAGGTGGGCAGGGCAGGCAGCAGGGCGCCAGGTCGGATGCACTGAGCAACATCAGCAGAGGGGAGAGCTGTCAGGCCACTGGCAGAGCAGTATGGGGTGTGGTGGGGAGAGGAAGGAGGAGCCAGAGGCCTTGGATCAGAGGCAGAAGAGGGAGGATGCATCTGACCCCTCTGTTCTGACCACTTCCCGGGAAGAGTACACCGGTGGAAGCAGGCATTGAGGGCACTGTCCAGGTTTCCACCGGGGGTTCAGTTCAGTTCAGGAGGTCACTGCCCTCTGTGGGAACTTTGAGCACAGTCTCCCCTGCCCCTGGCTCTGTCCTCAGCCCCCACCCCTCATGCTCTCACCCCACAGACCCCTGGACAGTTCCCTAACGTGCCCACCTCCTCCCTTTGTGTCACTGAACCCCCTTCTGACTGACCCGATCGGACAGAGCTCCATGTTCAGCCTGTGCTCACAGCCACACGTGGCTCATTTGGGCCTGTGACCTGAGCGCTCGGATTAAGTGATCTATAAAAGTTGATTTTTGGTTAGGACAGTGATATATTTAAGATTCAAAAACCCGCTCTTTTAAACTCAGTTTATGAATCTCTCTTTTGGGTTTTGCTTTTGTTTTCTGTAACAGCTTTCTTGAGATGTAATTCACATGCCATACAATTCACCCACTTACAGTGCACATTTCAGTGGCTTTCAGTAGATTCAGAGAGTTGTGTATCCATCACCATAGTCCATTTTAAAACCTATAACCTCAGAAGAAACCTCGTTCCCTTAGCTGGCATCTTTCAACCCCCCTCCCACGCCCTGAGCAGCCACTAGTCTACTTTGTGTCTCCATGGAGTTACCTATTCGGGATACTCCTATAAATGGAATCTTACAATTTGTGTCCTTCTATGTCTGGCTTCTTTCCTTCAGCATAATGTTTTCAGGGTACATCCAGGTAGTAGCATGTCTCAGGACTCCATTCCTTCTTATGGCTGAATAATATTTCACTGTGTTTATACCACGTTTTGTTTATCCATTTACCCATCAGTAGACATTTCGGTTGTTCCCACATTCTGGTTATTATGAATAAATAATGTTGCTGTGAACACTGATGTACAAGTATCTGTTTGAGTCTCTGTTTTCAGTTCTTTTGGGGTATAGACCTAGGAGTGGATTTGTAGAATCATATGGCAATTCTATGGTTAACTTTTTGAGGGACCACCAAACTGTTCCACAGCAGCTACATCATTTTACATTCCCTCCAGCAATTTCTCCGCCTCCTCATTAACACTTGCTGTTTTCCCTCTTTTGATAAAAGCCCTCCTAATGGATGTGAAATGGTATCTAAACCAAACCAATGGTTTTGGTTTGCCTTTGCCTAATGACTAATGATGTTGAGCATCTTTTCATGTGCTTATGTAGATGTAATTCACATGCCATACAATTGTATGTCTTTAAAGAAATGTCTGTTCAAGTTCTTTGCCGATTTTTTAATTGGTTCTTTGTTTTTTTGTTGTTGAGTTTTAGGAGTTCTTTATGTATTCTGGATATTAATCTCTCATCAGATGTATGATTTGCAAATACTTTTCCCATTCTGTGGATTGCCTGTTCACACTTTTTATGGTGTCCTTTAATGCACAAAATTTTTAATTTTTGTGAAGTCCAATTTATCTATTATTTTCTTTCATTGCCTGTGCTTTTGGTGTCATATCCAAAAAAATTATTGCCAAATCCAAAATCATGAAGATTTTCCTCTAGGCTTTCTTCTAAGAGTTTTATAGTTTCATCTGTTACATTTAGGTCATTGATCCATTTTGAGTTAATTTTTGCATATGCAAGGGTCCAACTTCATTCTTTTGCATGTGGATTTCCAGTTTTCTCAGCACCATTTGTTGAAAAGATGATTCTTCCCCCCATTGAATAGTCTTGGCACCCTTGTAGAAAATCAACTGACCATATATGCAAGGGCTTATTTCTGGATTTCTATCCTGTTCCATTGGTCTGTATGACTGTCTTTATGCCAGTACCACACTATTTTGATTACTGTAGCTTTGTAGCAAGTTTTGAAATTGGGAAATGTGAGTCTTCCAGCTTTATTCTTTGTCAAGATTGTTTTGACTATTTGGGGTCCCTTGAGATTCTATATTAATTTTAGGGTTGATTTTTCTATTTCTGCACAAAAAATACCATTGGGATTTTGATCCGAATTGCATTGAATCTGTGGATCACTTTGGTAGTGTTGTCATCTTAACAATATTGTCTCCCAATCCATATATTTTCAATTCCTCTCTTCTGTTTAAATCTAGCAGGCTTTAGCAATAATTCTGAAAGTTTCCATTTATAAATTTTAAATGCCTAAAATATTTTAACTGCTTTACAAATTTAATTTTAATTTATTTCTTAACCATTCAGTCATCGGACCTAACATAATCTTTCCAAGCTTAAAGAAAAAACATAAATGAATAAACATGCAAACGCAGTGAGCTAACAATTCTCTTGAGTGTCGCCAAACCACAGATAAACGCCCTAATATTGGCCACAGGCAGAGCCTTGCCACAGTCTGGCCTGGTGAGGACACACTGCCCCTGGAAGAGCGCTGTGTCGGGACCAGCTCCCAGCTTCAAATTTGGAGTCCAGTGTGGTCAGGTTAGAACAAGGGCCCCCGTGGCTGTAGGGGTAGCACCAAGTTTCTCCCTTTTTTGGCTTCCGAAAGGAGCAGAGGAAGAGGAGTCACAGCCCTGCCTCCCACCCAGACTCATAAAAAGGTGGATTCCACATCCATAGGAATTCAGACTGGAAATCTGACACAACATCCATTCCTCCGGGTGCCCAGAACCCCGATGAGTCCATCTTTGTGATTTATACCCCTCCCCCAAACAACACTCTCACTAATGCAAGGCAGCTAGCCCACACCCCACACAAAACACTTGCTCACACCAAGATGAGGAGGCACCCAAAGTCTGGTCCATTCCTGCACCCACACCACTTCCAGGTTCCAGCTTGACATCCACCCTCCTTGAGCTCAGCACAATCCTGTCTGGAAATTCTGTATTTCATATTCTGAACTATGAAGTTAGCCACGAAGAAAGAAACTAAAATTTGACTAGAGTTTGAAGGGCAGCAAGGAAAAAATACAGGTCGTGCTTGTTTCTGCAACAATCCTGAGGTCAGGCTGGTAGTTAGCGCATCCTCCACACACACCGTTCTGAGGCTTCTGAGCCCTTGGACCCATCTGCAGAGGGTGCTGCCATCTTCCACTGACCCTGGTCACTGGGCTTGGCAGTTCTCAAGGCATCCAGGGGGCTCCTGGACCCTGTCTGGCAAGTCCTCCCAGCCTCTCAATCACGCACCAGCAGCCCCTTCCCTGTGGGGGTCAGCCCTGGTCACGCCCCTCATTTGCCCGCTCATCCAGTGGCAGAGGCACTCAGAATAGCCATGTGGCTGACCATGTCCAGTCCAAGGGAAGCATGGATTTGTCTCTGGGAGGAAGCATTTCTTCCTTGGGAACCACATTCCACAATGCAGCATTACCCAGAGTCACCGTAACAGGCAGCAAGTTTCGCCAGAGGTCACTGGGTTCAGGGGTGAAAGGTACTCACCAACATGCACCAGATGGCTCCTGGATACTGTATTCCAGGCTCACCATGCAGCATAGTCCTCATCCTGACTCCCAAAGACGTTGTCTCCAAGCTGGCACCATGGCTGGGTCTTCAACTGGCTGTTGCACCAGTCCATCAGATCATTGATTTGGGGGTCATGGGGTGTATGAGGAACCCACAGATAGCAGCCTAGCCTCTGCTTTACATCTTTCACTCTGAAGAATGTCTTTGGCCAGAGGCAGTGTTGTGTAGGGCACCTCAGTGAGGGATTCATGAGTTCGTGGATGACAGTGCTAGAGGAAGCACAGCAGGCAGGATAAAGGTCCAAATATGCATGAAGGGGTGTTAATGATGACAAATCACTGTCCGACATCACAGATGGTGTTCACCGTGGTGGCCAACTGCTCCCCTTGGGGGAGATGAGTGCTGTGAGCTCTGGGGTGCCAGTACTGGTGGCCCTTGAGTTTGCAGAGAAAGCTACCTATGGTTGCACTCACACATGGCCTCCACTTCTGCCCTCATGGAGCCCATGGAGCAAGCACTGGGGTTCCTGCAAAAGGAAGTCAACAGGCATCCATGGGCCAGGTCATCTGGTCTCAGGACCCTTACATTCTTTTGTGTGTGTGGGTGAGGAAGATAAGCCCTGAGCTAACATCTGCCAATCCTCCTCTTTTTTTGCTGAGGAAGACTGGCCTTGGGCTAACATCCGTGCCCATCTTCCTCCACTTTGTATGGGACGCCGCCACAGCATGGCTTGCCAAGCGGTGCGTCTGCGCAAGCCTGGGATCCGAACCAGCGAACCCTGGGCCGCCGCAGCAGAGCACGCGCACTTAACCACTTGCGCCACCGGGCCAGCCC